GCGACCTGAGGGTTACAGGCTCTCAGGTCTAGCGTCTAGCGTTTCGCATTAAGGTTTCGGGTTTGAGTGTTTGGAGTTATAGGGGGCGTGGAGGAGTTGTCGGCGGCGGGCGGCTTCAGAAGAAGCAGAAGAATCAGCAATGTTTCGCAAGATTTCTGCTCGTCTTCGCCGCACTAGACGTGGTTGTGGTCGTTGTCGTCGTCGTAATCGTCGCAGAGTCGTAGCCAGCGGCAGCCGCAGCAGTACGCGGTGGTTGTAGCACAGGGCCGCGTGGGAGTATCAGGCGATGGAGCAGGCTGGTGGCGACTATCCGCTGATAATTTTGATGGTGGCCGTGGTGAGAATGACGGTCATGATGTTGTGAACGGTCAAATGGTGCACCTGAGCAGCACTTACTGCATCAATCTGCAAGAAGTACGTAGATGGAGTGGCTTCCACCAATGTCTACCCAGGCTCCAAGCCCCAGAAATGTGACGTCTCCGCAATGCAGATCTGGCATTTCCGCTTATACGGCTTCGCAGCGAAGAGGTAGATCATAGGGATGTGTTTTTTTGGCCCAACAACAGGGCACCAAGTGTTTGCAGCATTGTTCCGAGAGGCCGCACGCTATCCGAGCACTAGTCGCAAGATATCGCACCCAGCTCACAGCATCAGAAGGCTTCCTATCGCAACTCATCAAGCCAAACTTCATCAATCCGTAAACCGTAAACGTGAAACTCCATCGGCCCCCTCCTCCCCACACGAGACCCAAGCCCTAGAATTCGGCCCCGAAGTACAAGCCCTAGACCCCAAACTGACCCCCAAGTCCAAAAATCCTAAGCCAGAAGCCATTATAGTTTTCTGAGCCCCAAAAATCCTCAAAAAGAACGAGCCCCTGAAGCCCTAAGTTTCTACAGGTGCGCTCCTCGCTGCCTTGCGAAGCGCTGCTCTTCTCGGAGCTCGGTGCGTCGCTGCAGGGACGGCGGCCCGGCAAAGGGAGTCTGCCCTACAGCCTAATGTGGGAACCTGATTAAGAAACCCTGGGCCAATAGTAGGATTCATAAAAGGAGCCCTAAAAAAGGCCCAAGGTTTCTTAATCAGGTTCCTACATGAAACCCCAAACCCAGAAGATTAGGATTTTTGGTGACCCTTTACAGGTTTTTCACTAGGCTCCAAAAGCGGCGAGATGAGGGCTTTCGGGCTCCTTGAATATTAGAGGTCTGGATTAATTATGAGTAGTCCCTTGTAGCCCGTATTTTTTTATGATATTCTCTATATCTCGGAATTTGAGGGTTTGGGATTCCATCAGTATAAGAGCCTACAAAAAATATTCGTGGCTTTTGGCGAGGTTTTGAGGTTCGGGTTTACAGGTTGAGGGGTTTGGGGATGAGGTCTTTAATCTAGGGGGCGGAATGATTATATAGTGTTCCTCATAGCCCCCATGTAATCTTGATGTATAGTATGTAATTAATAATGTGACTTCAATATAACCCAAAAACCTATTCCAAATGTTACAAAGCTCATATATTTTCCTTCTACTTGTAGCAGGCTCCTCGTTTAAGGATAATGATGGCGGCAGTAAGCTTCTCTTCAGGGTCGCAGTCCTGTGAATAGTGCCCTCTCCGAAGCTACTGTCCGAATCATAGCGCATGCCTGGACGACGCAGGGTTCCGTTCTGTTCACAAGCAGAAGGAGACGCCGGCTTTGAGGTGTTCCTCTGGCCGAGAACATGTGTAGATGCTGCTTGTAATGTAGGTCTTCATGCATGTATGTATGCAGGTGCGCACGCAGTGTTGTTTGTTATATGCACCTCCGCATGTTGTCGTGTACGTCTTTTTGTCTCAAGAAAAGCTTAGTTGGGCCCATGTTTCGGCTCCAGTGAACTGAACGAGCCCCACTCACGGATCCTAAAGCTGTAACCCGTCGTCTCTTTGATTTCTTAAAAACCATTTAAGCAAGACCTTAACCCCAAATAGCCTACCTTTTTAGGGACTTAATATAAAGAAATCATATTGGGGGGCCGTAAAAAGGTAGGTTCCTTAGGGTCCAGGCAGGCCTTACAGTAACGGCCAAGCCCCAAGCTCCAAATCGCTAAATCCTGTCAGGCTGGCCACAGATTGGGGGTGCATCTGCGGTTGGGAATCGACGGCGGATGGCTGCAGCACACCGCCACTGGTCTTGCCCTAATAAGGATCCAGGGACTCGTATGGCTCGACCTTTGTTCCCGAAGAAAATTTCTTCAGCGTTTGGGTCGTTTTGAACCGTTGGGTTAAAGTCAGTTCTTTCAGTCTAGGTCAGGTGCACATTCAAACCTGATCTCCAAGTATACACTCAAAGCAGAGCCCACTTCCGAAGTTCCCGGAGCCCGTAGTGTATACGTTCTGAGCAGGGTGGTAAGAGAAGTAATCCCAACTAGCATACATGTAACCCTAACCAGCAGCTGCCTGCGAAGTCCCGTGATAATTCATGTAATTTGTAGGCCAAGAAACCGTTCAGGCCCCATAGTTGTCAGCGCATCCTTAAAGGACCGAGGCGAAAAGACGCATGGGAGTCTCTGAGAATAGAGGACCCTAATATAGTACCCTAAATAGTAGGATCCTTATTATAAGGACCCCAAAATAAGGTACCCCATATTTTTGGGAAAGTCCCACATCGCTTATGCAACTAGGAACTCGTCCTCGGAGTGTTTTAGTACCGGAGTGGGCGGTGGCGACCGGAGTCGTCGCTTGGGGTTGCTGGTTTAGGGGCAGAGGCAGTTGTAAAGAGCAGCCGTGGTAAAGAGCAGCTGACGGTTTGGGCCACTAGGAGGTTCATGGGTAGTTTGGGGCTATAAGTCCCCTAATATGGGTTATAAGTATAGTCACCCTACTTATAGCCCCACTTATAACTACCCATGGACCTCCAAGCAAGGCAAGATAAAGTTGTGCAGCGCTACCTGAACCTGATCCTGGGCCGCAGATCAAGCAAGTAGGGTAAGTCTGGTCATAAGTACCTTGATGGGGGTTAGAAGTATAGTCACAATAATAACCGCAATTACTCAGTCCCATGATCCTTTAAGTAGGGATGTAGCCCTAGCGGCAGAATGGTTAGAGTTAGTTTTGTCTTGACTTGTAGTGTGGGAGTATTGCAAGGGGAGTTTCGTGCTAATGATTCAGATTCCTCGGGGTTAATGCGGGGTGGCTGCATTCCATGAGCCTCAGCAGCTGCGAGCAGCGAGCTAGGCAGATGGTTTTCATGTCTCGCGTTATGCCTTCTATTTGGTTTCGACAAGGGCTTGCTGCAGGGGCTTCTAATTATAACGGTTCGGGTTTCTGCAAGGTACTCAGACAGGGTCTTTCTCATGGGTTCAGGGGCGCACATAGTATACTGGATTTCAGCTTTGGGAAGCAGTGGGTGTCTGATTATGTATTCCGGAGGGTTCAGTCCATTAGCCCACGTACTTGATTCAAGGGTCATGAGCAGGACGAACAACGGGGTTTCTATAGACCCATCTATACACTCCGGATGTCATCCGTCTATAATCCCTATGCAGTCCCAAGACAGAGACGCCAACACGGAGCAGGGGCTGCAGCTCAAAAGTTTAGACTTTTTGACGCTGGTCGAAAAACCTTGGAGGGTTTACGTACCAAAGTCGTACAACAGGTCACAGAAGGTTTTTGGAATTCAGGTGTTTTACGGCTTCCTTGAAGTACTCTGTGCTGGCCTAGTTTAGTCTCTCTGTGTACAGCTCGGGGCTCTTGCTTGTCTTCACAACTCAACTGGTCCCGAGCCTTCAATAGTAGGATTCACATTTAATAGTACCCTTACTATAGATCCCTTATAGTAACCCTTAAAGCACCCTTTAAATGAGCCCTAATAAGGCCCCCTAACAGCCCACCTCTTGCCCCGAAAATCATAATATCAGTGACTTCGCAATCAAGTAGAGAAAGCCTGTCGAATCACGGACTGTAGGTGACATTGTTAGACTCATTCAGATCGTCATGGTAAAACATTCCAACATGCGCTAGGGCCTAAAGTACGGGAAATGTAGTTTGATTCCATCATGACGAGTGCCCCTAAACAGTCAATCCAGAAGCTTAATATTCTAAGCCCTCGCTCATTCTGAAACTCAAGTCAAGCGTGTAAAGCCATGGCATAATGCCCATGATTAACCAAAACCGTCAACCCTATGAAGCCCTATAAGCGCATGCTTACACAGGGTGGCACTGCACAACGCGCTCGGCCCTTGCAAGCCGCCGCCAGCAGGCGCAAGCGGCATCCTGTTCTTTGGAAGGGCGCGCTTTCAAAAGGATATGGTGTTGCTAGGGCATTTTTGGCAGGATTTTCATACACGTTCTATGATGATTATAGGTTTGAGGAGGGTTTGGGCATTTACCCAGGCCCAGCCACTGCAAACCCGTTGACCCGTGTTGCCTGTCATTTGTTTTGGAACTGTGTATGCTTTTGGGGTGGCAATGTTTCTAGGGTTTGGCGCCTGTAGGGATCCAAACACCAAGCTGTAGCATACTTCGATGGTTTGGAGCACGAATAGACGGAAGGCTTGTGGCGCCAAGTCGGTTTTGGCTTGTCTGAGCCTAGGATCATACAGCTTCGGGTTCAGGGGCCGGCAGATCATGAAATCGAACCGAATATCGCCGATGTGGTTCAGGGGTTACAAGCAGGGAAGGTAGCTGATGTTGTCATGCGTGTGTTGGAACAGCCACTTCAACTTAAAGCTACCCTTGCTGGGAGGAATCCAGGGTTCCTTTGGACGTGGTCATTATGACAAGGGTCTGAAGCCCTAAGCGATACCGGGGCCCCGCAACCACTTGAGCTCCCGAATCGAATAGCGATCATGGTCCCAAACCCACTGAGACAGTGGAGATATAATAAGGAGCCCCCAAAAAAAGTATTGGCACTTATTTGGGCCCTTACATTGTCCTGAACCCTAAACCCTAAAACCCTAAACCCCAAACCGTTATATTGGATCTCCGGGATCTCCATGCCGTAGGACAAAGGTGACGGTTGACAGTGACTGAGCCATGGCCCTGACGCGCCAGCGTGTGCTTCTTGAGCTGAAACTGCAGCTCGCACTGGACTTTCTGGCCGACGATGCAGTGAATAGGCTGGCTGCCACGAATGCCGAGCTGCCGGGATTAGAGCATTGTGTGTCTTTTCAAGCTCTTTTGGCGGATTCCGGTTGTTTGTTGGAATATTTATAGAACTATGACAGACCAAACCAAAAAACGTTTGACGTGCGGTTCTTTCTTCAGACGCTAGGTTGCGAAAAGCCCTTGCCAGTGCTTGTGCGTCTCGGCACGGGCACGGTTATCGCCATGCCCCTGGACCCTTCCGGCTATCCGAGTCTCAGCTTTGGCGCGTCTTGAGTCTGGAGGATCTGAGCCGTTTCCAGCATCTGCTCCCTGCTGTGACTCTCGTCTCCGAGCTTTCCCTGAAGGACCCGTCTATTATGACTAGTATGATTATTAAGATTCTTCTTATTATTTTGATTGTTATTATTATTATGATTGTCAGTATTAATATTATGGTTATTATTACTGAGTGCTTTCCCTGAAGGAGCCGTCTGAGTGTATGTCACTCGCCACTGCTGCAGCAGGTCTCGCGAGCGAAACTGTCGATCATCACATCTATTACGCTTTGTTCACCTTTGACACGGATGCAGCAGCAAAGCTATTCTCAGGGCTAGAAGACGAGCATGGCAACCATTGGTGTTCTGCAGAGCCCTGTGTGGACATCGTTTTCGACGGGCATCACATTAGTGTCCAGATCGAAGCGCAGTGCTTTGAGGTGGGCATGCCAGCAATTCATGTGGGTTCGCTCGACTGTGACAGCTTGCAAGACGATACTACTGGCATCTGCTGCACCAGCCCGATGCAGCCTGACTTGAGGTTGCATGCAAGCTGCTTTTCCGTCGAGGACGACCACGAGCTGAACGACTTGTCACAGCTACGCTCCGCTGTGCGAAGCAGCCACCCTTTGCCACTTCTCTTGGGGGTTTATACCCAAGACAGTCTACCCAGGACCCTTTAAGCCCTGATCACAAACATGCTCGTAGCCAGCAGCCAGCCTGAAGCGCCGTTTCGTGGCACGCCATTGGGGGAGACACGGTGCCGGAAAATACAGCACCCACTCCATTGAAGGTGGAGGGCCTTATGTTTCAAAGTCAGGGCTTAAGGAGACTCGAGGGTCTTTAGTTTAGCTTGAGGGCAGGAGTCAGAGATGTGGTGCTTAGTTCATTCAAGATGCTAGGCAAGGATGGTGGTGATGATGGTGACATGTAAATGCTGCTGTAGCTGTAACCATACCTGTCGTCGCGACCGTCGTTCTCATGGTACTGACCAGCGTAGCAGAATCCGCGCCAGAATTGCAAGCCCCAGCTCCTGTCCCCCTCCTTTGAAAACTCCAACTGACTCCAACTTCTAATCTCTATAATCCAAAACCACTTCCCCAAATTCTCGGACTCCACACCCTGAGCCTTAGATGCCTCATCGAGTATGAAAGAGTTACGAAGTATGCCTAAGTTGCGTCTGGAAAGCGTATTGCACCCTTTGCTGAGTCGCCGTGTAAACTTCACAGTAATCTAGAACCCCTTGTAGAAACTTACAGAAAGCTGTAAAGAACCCGAAACCCTAACATCCAAATCTGAAGGCATACAGCCGTAGAAAGAAGCCCTAGCCCTATAGACCCGTTAAAGAACCATAGAGAAGCTGTACCCATAGGCCCCAAAGTAGTTCCTTTTTGTGGCCCATATACAGAATTCTATAGGGTAGTGCCAAAAAGGAACTACTACTGGGTTCTTGTTAAGGAACTTAGTTTAAGTTACCATAATAAGGAAACCCTATTATTTACGATAGATCCCTATTATGGTAACTTAAATTAAGTTCCTTAACAAGAACCCAGTTACTATGGGGCCTATGGGTAAAGAATCGTCCGAGGCTGGTGCTCGTGGTACTGCCATGGCCCACATGTCGATGAGGCGTTGATGCTGAGCCGCTGGCCTTCGCACTGACCGGGATGGGGGCCTTTGTCCTGTAATGCTGTCGAGTAACCCTAATCCCCAAAAAATCTGCAAAGTCCGGGCTTGTTCGCGCCTTATATACCATACGAGGATCTTTAGTTCTTGTATAGCGGTCTTTTAGGGGCTTTGGCCATATGCTGAGATTATGACTGAGAGATTCGCCCCGCAATCCCAAATCTTCAAATCCTACACGCATGTCGCAACCCAAAATTCGATGTACGGTGCGAGACCTTAAACCCTAAATCCTACACCCAGACCCTAATCTTCAGACGCGAAGCCGGAGTCAGCTCAAGATGTTCTGCGAGAGCTTCAAACTCCACAAATAATATAACCCCCCCCCAAGACCCTATTCCTTTATTAACTTAAAAACCCTATTCTGATTATTAAGACCCCCATATTAACCTATAAGCCCTAAAACCCTAAACCGTAAACCCTATTCTAATCTCAAGTGAGGCTCCTTGGCGGAGTTGAAGAGCAAAGGACTCGACTCCGGCCACGTGGCTGAACTTTAGAGCCTTTAGATTAGAGTATTAGAGTTGAGGGTTTGGAGTCTATAGGGTTTAGGGTTTGGAGTCTAGGGTTTAGGGTTCGGAGTTTGGGGTTTGGAGTTTAGGGTTCAGGGTTTGGAGTTTAGGGTTCAGGGTTTGGAGTTTGGGGTTTAAGACATTGGAGTTTAGGGTAGTTCTGATTTGTGCTCTTTTTTATAGTTACGGTGTTCTAGACTTAGCATGGCCCCTCTATTCTGCTTTGAGCCTGAGACGCCCTGGTCGTCGCAGCAACAGACAGAGGTGACCTGCAGCTGAACCTTTTCCAGCTTGACGATGGCTTCCCGGCACGCAATAGCTCGGAGCTTGTTAAATTTATCCGACAACTTTATTGAGGCTTGATAGGCTATAGACAGGTGCAGAGGGTTCATACGGGCTTTTTCGGTGTGGAAGCCAGCGTGTCCACGTATGCCCTGAGGATTTCGGATACGTTCGTGATCCTGACCACAAAGAGACTGAAGGGCTGCCCTGAACGAGATTTGACCTTCCTGTTGATGGTAAAAATCCTGCATTACCCATAATAAGGAAGACACCATTATTCCCATTGTTAGGGTCCTTCGTAAAGGTCATGCAGGATTTATACCATCAGCCGTTCTCAGGGAAGTACTTGCTTTGAGGTACCAACAGGAGTAAACAGGTTCCCTGAGAATTGAGAGGTTCTTGGGAACCTAGCCAGTGCCCTTCATGTTTATTTGATGAGCTCTTCCCCAGTTCAGGATAGAGGCATGCTCTGCGTGGTTTTAGCATGTTTCAGCTGTGTTTGCGTAACTACGTCTAGCACGGGTCATGAATCGCCAAACCCCGAACCCTGAACCGTAGACTTGAACGCAGCTATGACGACGAACCTCCCGAGCCTGGGTGGTTCGACACCAAAGAAACCGAATTCCCACTGCTAAAACGGCCCGACAGCTATTAAATCCAGCAGGTCCAAGGGGATCAAACTCAGCATGTAGTGTGCCTTCAACATGCAAGCCTGACTCCAAACCGAAAAGAAGTGTAGGGTTGTCGTCCATCAGTATGGGGTATAGCGGTATATGGTATATAACCCACAACCCACTGGGCTATAGGATCCACGGGTAAAGCCCAAATTCAAATGCTAACACTAAACGAAAGCGCAAGGCTGGCAGTCTGCTTGGGGAGATTGGCTTCACCCGCACCCGCAGCGTTTCCCGCCTCCTGGTTGCAATCAAACTTGCAGATCCTTCACTAGCCTTATGAGGCTCGTTTAGGGCTTCAGTGCATGAGTAAGGTTTTCCGATTTAGGGTTTCTGAACTTGACCTGAAGTACTGTCGATTCCTGGCACATGAGAGCCCGGATACCGTTTAGTTCAATGCTGGTCCAGTACACGGAGCCTTTGAGGGCTCGTTCTGTTCAGGGTATCTTACCTTCGGAAACCCCAAAGAGAATCTGCGAATGTTCCCCCGCTTCTCCACCAAAACAGAACCCAAATCCTGAAAACAAGAGACAGCCTCGTTCTTTTGCAGAAGCCCTCAAAAAGCATTGTTTTCCTCGCGAGCCCTTGAAACTTAAAACAAAGCCTCCTTTTGTTCAGCCGGGCCCCGAAGCCTTATACCCTCGACCCAAGAATCCCCAATAGGTCCATCCTTAGCCCTCAACCCTTGGCCTGGCTCAACCCCCAAACCCGAGCACATTTCATCCCTAAGCCGCAGCTCTCTGGGCCAAGGAACGGACTGAAGCCCCGTGTCGAGGCAATCGAGGCTGCCGGACTCACAGCCGGACTGCTCCTCGGCTTCCGGGTGGTCTTCTTTTAAGGTTTGGGATTTCGGGTTTAGGGCGGATATGCCTCAGTAAGATTTCGGGCAATGCCTACAATGTAACTAGACGAGCCCCAACAAAGGGACCCCTTCATTTCCAGAGAAGCACCCAGAAGAAAGCCCACCTATAACCTCTACTATCTACTACCTTGAGGCTCTGAAGGCCCAAGAAGCCCTAAGCCCTCACACCCATATACGAAATCTTGGAAACTAAATCTTGCAGAGATCAAAGATCTTAAGCATCGTTAGAGGAACCCTCGAGGACAGCCTGAGAGCCTCCCAAAACTCGTTTGACCTGTAGAAGCCCGCACGACCCTTTCCCTCTTACAGACCCATAAATCCATTAAGTCTCGTCGGCAGATTGGCATGAGGTGGCTCGCTCCCGCCTCCTTGGTCGCTGCATCGAAGGTTGCCCAGGACCCCAGTTGCTCTCGGAGCTTTCCATGGGGTGTCATAATATGGGCTCTATACACGAAGTCCTGTCGGGGTTTGATTTCAAGGCTTGTTGGGCACAGGAGCCTTCAACAAGATATGTTTGTAACATATTCCGTAATATTCCCCAAAACCCTTTTCCAAATTATTTAGGCCCCTCTATTGCAGTTCAGCTGGGTTCATGTTTATACATAGTCTTTCTTTGGGTCTTCGGGCTTGAGGCTTCTCCCGGTCTTCGCGGCTTGAAACTGAAGCTCAGAGTTTGGAGGGTAAGGCTGCGGGTAAAAGGGCTCAGGTTGTGGGGTGAACGGTCTACGAGGAATGTAGGGTTGAGGGTATATGGTTGCACTTCAACGTTCAAGGGACTGCGTAGGTAGTAGTGGCAGAAGCAACGTATTAATATCCAAATCCGCAAACTGAACCGTGACAACCGCCAGCGACCAAGAATAGGATCATGGATCTTGTGACAACCTGAGCCTGGTTGAGGGTGCGACACAAAGCCCAAATCCTGCAAGTTTCGTTGTCAAGTCCCTAAACAGCCACCAAAAATACTACCACTCATCCGTATAAATGGTTTGAAAACCGGCGCCGATGTCTTTGCGAAAGCCGCGGGCTGTTTTCATCGCAGCCCGTCAGGAGCATCCTGATTGGCTCCTCAAGGATGAGACAGGCCATTTAGGGTTTAGGGCCGGGCTTGCAGGGCTTCTGGGGCTTCAGGTTTTGGAGTTTTAGAGGATATATATATATATATATATGTATATATATATATATAGAGAGAGAGAGAGAGAGAGAGAGAGAGAGAGAGAGAGAGATAGGGTTTAGGGCGCAGGGTTTTTTGGGTCTAAGGTTTTGGATTTGTTCTATACAGGCTTTCACGGTTTAGGGCCAAAGGGTTTAGAGCTGATGGTTTCGATCTTTTGAGGTTTGTAGTGCTTTGGGGATGTTAGGGCTCTTTGGGGATGTTAGGGCTCTTTGGGGATGTTAGGGCTCTTTGGGGATGTTAGGGCTCATAGGTCTTTGGGGATGTTAGGGCTCATTTGTCCGAATACTTCGGCTATATAGGCGAGGGCTTGGTGTTTCATACGTGTTGTCTGACATGTTTTAGTGGACAACCCTAACCCCATCCGCCCCACCCCACCCCGAAAACTCCCTGAAGTGCAACCCAACCTCTTCAAAAACACACACAACCAACGAAAGCACAGACCGCAGCGCGCGTGTCAGGCCGGCCGACAAGTTGCGGCTTCACGGCTCCCGGGTCACTTGGCGTCCTAGAGCAAAGCTTTGTGCTTTTGAGGTTCTTTAGGGTGCTGCGGGCCTTTTATGACACAGTGTTTTGGTCTTTCGGTGCTGGGAGGCTTTAGTGTTTTGGTATTTAGGACGCAAGGTTTAGGTTTAAGCTAGTATCAAGCCTCCAGGGCGCCTATCCAAACCCTTTGCCTCCAAACTCCTCGCAAGTCCTTATCGGAGGCTTTGGATGAGAGCTTTGGATACGACACATCCGGAAGTTCAGGCCGCGTGGCTTGGGAAATTAGGGTTGCTTTCTCGAAGTCTCGTGGCCCCGGTCTGGGTTTCGGGTGTGGGAATCCTTCTAACTTCCCTTCATGGTCCGAAGGACTTGCTGGCCTTGCATGCCGCATGTTTATCCGGCTAAGTGCTTCGGCAAGGTTAACGATTTCGGGTTTACGGTGTTCAGATTTCTCGTTGTAGATCCCCTGAAAGTAACCCACGAAAGATAGGGCCTTTGTCCAGTTTCTACTCTGCTTCAGATCAGTGAGTAGGAAGTTTGGAGTACCGGGCTCTCGGCTGATATAATCATTCTATCGAAGGATTGCACAGGTGGGCCCAGACCGCTTCAATGATCGTCCTAGCTGTTTCTACTGCAATGTAGGTCTTTTTTCAAGGAGTCTAGGTTCAGATCCGATAAGAAGGTCCCTTTCTAGATAACTGTCCCTTTTAACAACACTGCTCGGCCAGGGGTCAATACTACACCCTGCCCTTATGACCCAAGCCACAAGTCAATCAATACAGAGGTCCTTCCAAACCCGTATACACAAGTTGCGAAGCCATTGTAGAAGAGTTGTTCAAGGTTCAGTTCTAAACCCTGAACTCTACCAGCACCCCCCCAATACCCTTTAAAGGGCTCTAATATTCCCATTAAGAGGTCACTAGGGCCTACAATAAAGGGTAGTTGGGGGGTCTAGGTGAACTCTAAAACCCTAAACCAAGCCTCAGCCAGGCCCACATCCGGCACATGATTCACACCATCGTGCATGAATGGGGCTTCAAGTATCTGAAGCTCTTCGTCTGGTTGTGGAGCAGTAGGGTGTATAAGGTTTAGGGTTCTCAGCTTCAGGATTTCGAGTATCGGCTTTTCTGAAGCTTTTCGTCTGTGACAGATCTGGTTTTTAAAATAGCGGCTTGAAAGATTCTCGATAGGCCTTTCTTACGTTTCATTCTCTGTAGGGCTTGTGTTTTCCGGTGTCTTTTTCATGCTGTTGCAAACTAGAGACCCCCTAGCCGACCCGTGTCCTTTTTGGAGTTCGGATCTAGTACTTCAATCCCTGCGTCGTTGAGCCTGGATAGTGTTTAGGGCTTGCAACAGTCTCGAGCCCGAAACCCAAGAACGTCACGGTTCTAGCCCTTGCGCAGCAGAGGTGCGACTTCCTCCACTGCGCAGCGCTACCTGCAAAACGCTGGGACAGCAAGACGTCCCGCGCAGCCGCACAGGCCGTGCATAGCCTGTGGTCCATGTCATGGCCTGCCTAAACCCCGAGCCTTTAAACTTTGCTGTGCTCTCAGGCTCAGCCTGTCTCAAGCGATGTTACGAAGGAGTTGGCTTAAGAAAGCATTGCTTGATTGGGCAGTACACTTTGCAGCATCTGGGCTTCCTCAGAAGAAGCGTTTCATGTCCTAGTTTTCAGCTGCATAAGCAGACGTCCCGGGTACTGCAAATAATGCATTTTTTCGAAAACACTTGTAGCATCAGGGAAAGGACAGGCACCTGCATGATCCTAGGGCACCCCGAAGCCCACAGCAACAACGATGCTGCAAATTCATCAGAGCGTAAACTCCAAACACTCAGAACCTGCAAGTTGATCCCCAAACCCCAAAGTCTATAGTAGTTGTCAAAATTAGGGTCCCTTTTTGGGTACCCTAAATATTAGGTGCCGTATTATAATAAGGACCCAAAAAGGGACCCTAATTTTGACAGCCGCCCGTATAACCCCGAGCCCACATCCCTTCTCTCGGCAGCACCGTAGGCCACGCTACTGCGCATCATTCGCGAAGCTGCGGGCAAAGACGTCTTCATCCTCGGTCCGGCTCCAAGAGGGTCTAGGTCAGTCACGGCTTTGCAAAAGAGAGTGTAAGCCCAAGGTTTGGTTTGCAAAGATTTCCCTACCCTATTGTTGGCTTAAGTACAACTGCAGGGGTTTATAGGGTATGTCTCTATCCTATACACATGATTCTTGCGGGAACGGTTTCGGGTTTTGTGCGTCCCTAGATGCGCAAGTAATTCATGATATTTCTAATCCCCAAGGGATTGCCAGAGGATTCCAAAACCCCCCAAACCCCAAGGCCTTGCGCAGCTACACGCTTTCGGGAACTTAAAGCTTTCGCTTCACCTGAACTTCAACTTTCAACGGCCTTCCCCTAAACCCTAAACCCTAAACTTCAACCCTCAACCCTGGGCCCCAGAGCCTGAAACGTCTATTGTGGGGACAAGAAATCGAAGGCGGGTTTAGGGTTTAGGGTTTAGGGTTTAGGGGCCAATAAGAAGACCCGATGCTCTGGAGCCTAATCTGGCGGTTCCAGAAAGAGTTCATTTCAGACGGTACCGTAGTTCAGGCGGTATGTGAGAAGGATCCTTACCCAGCTTTGCCTGCTAAGACTGCTAGAGTGCTAAAAGCATAAGTTTTGCAGAATCTTAGGTCTGCACCTTTGAACACCGCTTGTTCTTAGCTCTGACATCTTCAACCCCCCGGAACCCTAGCCTAAACCTTCAACAAGACCACCACAAAAAGCCCAGTCTCAATATCCAAACTCAAAGCCTTTTATCGACCCTTTAAAGAGCCCTAGCCCTAACCTAAACCGAAGACTTCAGCAAGCCTGAGAGTGTTTAGGGTTTAAGGGTTTAGGGTTTAAAAGGGTTTAGGGTGTAGGGGTTAGGATTTAACAGGGTTTAGGGTTTAGGGGTTTAGGGTTAAAGGGTTAAGCAAGCCTTGCCCAGCTTGCGGCGCTCCGCTGGGACCCTGCCTGGGCTCCGTGGATGCCCTGCGCGTCTCGGCCGACACGGCGCCGCACTGGCTGCCTATGGGGCCTGGGGGCCCGGTCTGCGTGGGGCTAACTAGGGCCCCAAAAAAGCACATAAGCACAAATTAGGATAGGGATATCCCATATAAATCCCCTTAAAAGGAAGCCCAATAAGGTGGGGATATCCCCATAAAAGGCTGATGCTTATGTGCTTTTGGGGGTCCCTACTAACCTGTAGCCGAAAGGGCCTACCTTTTTAGGGCTCCTGATCATGGTTTCTATATATAGTTCCTTAAAAAGGTAGGGCTCTTCGGCTACAGGTAGGATTTAGGGGTTTAAGTTTAGGGTTTAGGGCAACAGTGCTTGGTGTTTTCGGGTTTGAGGATTTAGTTTTTGTTTTTAATGTCGGCTGCCGCATTATTGTGACCTTTGGTACTGGATTAGATGTTTGGGGTGCTTCATGCTTTAATTTTGGCTTTTTGAAGGAACTCCCGGGAGGAGTATTCTTTACTACGCAGATCTTTCTGCTCGGGCTTAGGAAGTTATTCACTTGGGCTTTGCAAACAAAAGCTGGATCGGAAACCGTAGTTTTTATAAGGCTTGTACACAACCGTACCTACAACGCAAACACTCAAATTAGTCGCTTGTGATCCCATGGTCAAAGAGCATAACCCCTAAAGCAGCCATTCGATCACTATCCCGAAAACCCCAAACCCCTAAACTTGCCCTAGACTCTAGGCCCTACTCCTGAACTCCTAAGCCGTAGACCCTGAAGTCCCAAAGCTCTTCTAGTGTCGAAGGATCAGTTGCAGGGAGCCTTGAGTCCTAAATTGCCGAGGCCCTTGCAGAGCCAGTAGAGAACGGCTATAGCCTGCAGAGCCTTGTGTCGCCCTAGGGCTCCTGTTACCTAAATAGTAGGTTACTGGGGTATATACATATATAGTTAATAACCCACTACCCTGAGGGTCCATGTACCCATATAGAGATACATGAGCCCCAAAGTAGCTATATAGGGATTACATTAAGGCCAATGTAGATGATATATGAGCACATGGACCCTTAGGGCTATTTAGGTAACTGGAGCCCTAGAGTTGCTCCCAGGCAGTCGAGTCAGGCGCCGACCACTCCACACCGGAAGGATGGCGCGGGACGTTCTTTTCTCTGTGCCAATGCGCGGTTCACGGTCGTGGAGTCCGACCGGGAGCGCATGATCGACCTGATGATGAAGAATCTGGTGCAGGAAAGGGAGGACATGGGAGTTTCCGAAAATAGGGGATCCTAATATAGTAGCTCTAAATAGTAGGATCCTTATTATAAGGACCCCAAAATAAGGTACCCCCTATTTTCGGAAACTCCCACATAGGCGTCATGTTCGACAATCTTCGCGTGAGTGCTTTGATGCGAACCTTCGAAGTCTCTCATGAAGGCCCAGCTGGAGAAGCATGGGGGAGAGAGCCAAACGAACAAATCGCTGGCAGCCTACTACAAGACGCCTCGATACTGCAAGAGGAATGAGAAGGTGAGCCCAACCTTTGTGGAGATAAGTCTTAGCTTGCACAAAAAATGCCCTCTGCTACGAGAAGGTTCGGAACATATGGGTGGTTGTCAAAATTATGGTCCCTTTTTGGGGTCCCAAATATAGTATGGCACCTACTATTTAGGGTACCCCAAAACGGACCTTAATGTGGACACCCAGATGCCTCAGGTTCGGCGAGATGGGCCTCGACAACCCCAATGTAAAGCCTCTGCAGGTTTCTTCGTAGAATATCCTCTGCAAGAACTTTAAAGCCCCAAAACCCCAAACTCTAAACCCCCAAAGCCCGAAACCCTAGACCCCAAACCCCCAAACCGTAAAACTTAAACCGCCCCCACAACCCCAAACCCTAACGAGCAAAAGCCTAAACCCCTGCCACTAAACCCTATACCCTTAACCCTAAACCCTATATACCCTAAACCCTAAAGCAAGATCCCCGGAGGCCGGACGTCTTCGGCACCCGATGGCTCTTTGCCAACGACCGGACGAACCTGCCTTCCGCGAGGCGCTCCCGGGTTCCCTTAAACGGTACTATATAGAGGGTTCTATATAGTAAGGTCCCCTTTAAAGGGTACTACAGGGTTCTATTGTAGGGTTCCCTTATGGGTTCCCTTTTAGGGTTCCTTTAAGGGTTTTCCTGTAAGGGATCCACTTAAAGGGTTGCTGTAAGTTACAGAAGTCAACAAAGGCCAGCGCGGTGTAGTTCTATACTGTTCCCTTATGGGTTCCCGTAAAGGGATACTATAAGAGTAGCATAGGGTTCCCTTGAGGGTTCCTTTTAAGGGTTTCTAAAGGGGTTCCTTGGTGCAGTTCATCTGATCTTGAAGCGAGGAACATGGTCTGCAGCACGATGGCTCGTCTCCATGCCGGAGGCCGGAAGTTGGTGCTTTTAGACTAACTTCTTGGTTAGTAGGGAATGGAGGAATGGGGTACACTTATAACTACTATTACTACGATTCTTCCATTCTAATCGGCCTAAATAATTACCAATATTGTATTGGGGGTTCCTTATTATGAATATAGTATGATGGGCCCCAAAACCCTATTATGATTATTAAGGTCCCTGTATTAAGTCTGGCACTCCGCCCTTATGGTTGCAGCGGAACCGCCTTGCTGGTTCAGGGATCAATGTCGGGTTTGGAACCCCAGAATGGCTTAGATTTAAACCGTACCACCAGAGACTTTCTTGTAATATATGTTTATGTATATATATATATATACATATAGGGCGTCGCGCACCGTCCGGGCAAGCTCACAGAGTTTGGGCTCGTCGCATGGAGATAAGCCGACTGATCCAGCGCCTGCATTGAAGTTGAGGGAACAGCGTCGTGACAAAGAGCAGCAGCACGATCAAGAGCGCCCCCATGCGCCCCCTCAACTCCGACAGAACCGTCGTCAGCGAGTACGAGTCGATTGGCTGCGGCTTTGGCCACATAAAACAGGAAAACTTAGGCATCCAGAGCTGATTGCAGAGTAGCAGTGCAGGAGATTGGCTGTAAGCCCCGCGCAAGCATGTCCCGGCAAAGAAGACAGAAGCCACCTTGCGCAGGAGAGATGACCGAAAGGTACAAAAAGCAGGAGTCTAGCTGCTCGCGATTAAGCCTAAGGTTAAACTAGAATCTAGATGATGGGAGTTGACAGGTATGCAAGGATCTGTAAGTTCTAAGCTGATCAACCTCAAAGGGCCTTTTTGCCTCAAACCTTGCAGGCCGGCTGTGGGTTAACGATCCGGACTGCCTGCTCCTCCGGAGTGAGGCCGAAACTGAGTGGGGGTGGGTTAGGAGTTTAGGATTTTGGGTTCAGGTTCTGTTATGGCCAGAGTCTATTGGGGCCTTTCAGTCTTAAGCACTGTAGGGTTTTAGGATTTAGGGTTGGAGTTGTTTTAGGGGTTTAGGGTTTAGGGTTTAGGGTGTTCGTTTATTGTTGCTGCTGCTGCTCCTTTAGCTATTGCTCTCTTTATTGATACTGTTCTTCGTCGTGG